AGGAACATCATACCTACATCATAGAAAAGGCGGTTTACAACAGAAATCTGAGTGTGTTGTTTATCTCCTGTCTGGCAGATTACCTGTTAATGGTCACTTGACTGGATTACCCAAGGAGCCTGGCTAGTCTTTTGTAATGATAAATACTTAAGTTCCTGAGCCAGGTCACAGGCTCACCCTATTAATACACAGACATACCCTTAAGACAGGATTTGTGAAGGAAAAGACAATGGGGAGGCTTTTCCATTTTCCTTGACCTTGCAGAGAAATATTTGAGGTCAATTTGGGAGGGACAAAATGGTTTCAGGACTTTTTCTGTGGGGTTTCAAACATGTGGTTTACATATGCAGTTATGAACATTTATCTTTTATATATATGTGACCTTAAAATTCTTATTAACACCCGCATGCAAGAGGTGGGCAGGCCCAGAGGCAACTGAGCCATTGCCAGGTGTGTGGGGTTGTGTTTTTTTTGAACCCTGGTCTCCCAATTTCAAGTCCAGCCCTCTAACCACTGCACCATATTGAGGTTGTGTGTGTGTGTTTGTGTGTGTGTTCTGATCTGGTTTTCCACCTCAGCCATCGAAATGTCTTAGGGCTGGCATTGTTTTAGGGGGACGGCTGGAAAAGTCTAATAACTTTTGTGGAATTCTTACTTGCGAGGCTACGTGAAGGACTCAACCTTCGCACAGAAATTAAACAATCGGGCGCATGACGTCTTTGGAAACAGCTTGAGAAGACACAGCAGTCGGCCTGACATGCACAGAGCAAGTAAAAATTAACTAGCTACATCTTTCTGCAGATTGTGGGGCCTGTGGATAAGGTCGCCGCTTTCCCCCAAACCCAGGCCAACAGCAGAAATTCACCCGGTGACACTTCTCCTTGCATGGAAATAGTGACTGCATTTCTAGGTGTCTCGGCTTCTCTGAAAAACCCAGGAGTATTTTACTAGCCTTGCCTCTGTGTCTTTAAGAACAGCCTGCCAGGCAGCTATGAGGCAGGTGAAGTTTCTCCAGTTTCATCACCGCCCCAGGGAAAATATTTACCTGCCTGATTTCTGCCCATCAGACTGCAGGTCAAAGGCACAGCTCTCTTTGCTAGGGAGAGTGTATAAATTTTGCAAGGGGACGTGGGGATTTGGCCAGAGAATTCCCCCCCCACACACACACACACTTTCCCCAAATCAAGCCTGACAGAGAGTTTTGGAGAGCTGCAGAAATATTGCCCTAATATGGCTTTTGGAACGGGCAATCTTTACATTTTGCATAATAGTCGTGACTCTTTTTCCTTAGCCTGGAGGTCTGAACACAGCCGCTTATCAGATCTCCCACCAGCCCAGCTCCCCAGAGTTGTGGGTAATGGTTAACTCTGCAATCTCGCACTGGGACCGCCCCCCACATCCCCCAAAGAAACAAACAATGGGGCTGAAATACACTCGGAGTCCTAACAGGAGCGTTTTAAAGTGGCTTATCGTTGCATCTTAAGTTTATTAGCCAAACACACCTGGGGGTGTGTGTGTGGCTTGCACAGCAGCTAGAGAAAGTTTGGGGGGGACCTGCAGGGCTGACCTGAAGTCTCCAGGTTTTCCTGGCCCCTTCCAGGTGACTTATTGGGGGGGGGGATTGAATCTCCAGGAAGGCGAGAGAGACTATATAAAAAAAATGTTTCATGCCACCCCAATCTCTGAGTGGTGGGAGAATCCAGGGGTTTGAGGCGTTTACGCAGGTTCACTCTCCTTGGAAGGAAGGTCAATGGAGACTGTGGTGTTTTGGTGTATTTTTTTACACATACACAACTTGATGCCACCAAGTATCTACGGTGCTACAAAATTCTTGCATGTCACTAATACAGCTGCTACTCTGGAAATTAATATTGATATTAACTGCTGCATCAGACCCTCACCTCAGACGAGTGGATGGCACCAGTACAAGGCTGGATTTAGATTTGATGAGGCCCTCAGCTACTGAAGGCAATGGGCCCTTTATATGTCCAGCTGTCCTTTGTCAACAACAAATTGTCGCTGTTTTTTGTGTTGAATATATGCTATGTGGTAATTTATGGATCTAATAGGTATCTAACCAGTGATATTTTAGGGAGCAGGCTAGCAGGCGGGGCCCATGACTTACATCCTAGGAGCCTACACAACACAAAACACTGTTGCTGTATGTAGGTTTAATTTTATTTGTTTTTTATCTTATAGTTTGGAAATGTACATCCGGGTTTTTTTCCCTTTCATTTTTTGCGGGCCCCCAAGAGAGTGGGGCCCTAAGCTATAGCTTGCTTAGCTTATACTGTACGTAAATCCGGCACTGGGCTCACGGCATTAACACCCCCAGCAGATCTCGGTTCTCCATTAGTCGCCACTTTGGAATCCAGCACAGAGCACACAGCTCTCTGTGTCTCCAGCTTCCAGGACCCACCAGTTTGAAAACTGACAACCTGGTTACAGGAATTTGCAATCTGAGATTCAGAGTCTCATGCTCTACCGACCGCGCATAAGGCCGAGCAATAAGGTAGGGACAGTGAAGCTCTGGCGCTCAAGATGTGGTTGGACTACAACTCCCATCATCCCTGACAGTTGGCCATGTTGGCTGGGGCAATTGGGACTTGGCACCCAACAATGCCTGGGATCCTCATCCCTGGGATAAAGTGTGCTCAAATCAGGGAAGACATACTCAGAGCAGGAACTCCTACAGAGACAGCAGATGCATCCCTCTGAGGGTAGATAGTCTTAGCCAGGATAGTTCTGTTGGTTAGGGTGTGGTGCTGATCATGCCAAGGTTGCAGGTTCGATCCCTGTAAGAAGTGGGTCCTAAGACCCTTAATCTCGTGCCTTAAAATACAACCTAGGCTCTGTGGTTTAGATCACAGTATCCTGAAGCACAAGGGACGTGGGTGGTGCTGTGGGTTAAACCACAAAGCCCCGCGACAGGGTGAGCTCCCGTTGCTCAGTCCCTGCTCCTGCTAACCTGCAGTTCGAAAGCACATCAAAGTGCAAGTAGATAAATAGGTACCACTCTGGCGGGAAGGTAAACGGTGTTTCCGTGCGCTGCTCTGGTTCGCCAGAAGCGGCTTAGTCATGCTGGCCACATGACCCGGAAGCCGTACGCTGGCTCCCTCGGCCAATAAAGCAAGATGAGCGCTGCAACCCTAGAGTCCATCACGACTGGACCTAATGGTCAGGGGTCCCTTTACCTTTTTATCCTGAAGCACAGGTTCCCTCCCTTGCCTCCCCATTGGCTCGGTACTACAAGGTTTACAGCCTATCACGACTACCTACTAACATTCCCCTTATTTGGTCTACTTTCCTATGCTGTTACTTGCTAAGCCAAGCAAAAATACGACATCTTGACCACACGTTCTAAACATCCCCAGTTATGAGCAGTGGGTTGACCTAGACTGCAGGTGTCTGTCTGGCATCCTGTCCACATGCTCCATACTTCTCTAGTTATCAGGTGTGAATTGATCTGAACTGTAAACATCTGCCTGACTTGTTGCATTTGTGGTTTATGTGAGAAAGCAACATCCTCATTCTTCACAATCTCCAAATGGGACAGCTGCATTGCAGGGGGTTGGACTAGATGACCCTCGGGTCCCCTTCCAACGCCACAATTCTATGATTCTATCCACTCTGTCGAAAGTGCCGCAGGTGTTGGAGTAAGGTCTTTAGTTTCCATTGAGACCAATGCATAACTTAGCTGTCCAAAAGCACAGCACACCAGCCTTTAAGGTGCCCCAGGTTTGAACTTGGAAAAACGGGTAAAAGAATATTGGGAAATGATAGATAATGCATTGGGGAAAAATGTTTCAAAAACAAACAAACAACCGGAGTCCTTTTTGTTGGGAATAATTCAGAGGGAAATTCCCAGGTGTCAAAAACAACTATATATGTATGCTGCTACTGTGGCCCGCATTTTGTTAGCCCAAAAATGGAAAACGAGCGAGGTCCCAACCAAAGAAGAATGGCAACTTAAACTGATGGAATACGTGCAGCTTGCAGATTTAACATATAGAATAAGAGAACAAGAAGAATGCACGTTTAAAGAAGACTGGAAAATGTTTACTGAATATATGGGGGGGGAATTGTGTTTATTTAAAAACACTGGTAGCATTAAGATAAATTCAACAGTATCAATAAGTTTTGGTGGATGTAGCAATGGATTACTGAATGGTTGTAAAATATACAGGGGTGTACGCGGGTGGCGCTGTGGGTTAACCATAGAGCCTAGGACTTGCCGATCAGAAGGTCGGCGGTTTGAATCCCCGTGAAGGGGTGAGCTCCGTTGTTTGGTCCCTGCTCCTGCCAACCTAGCAGTTCGAAAGCACATCAAAGTGCAAGTGGATAAATAGGTACCACTCCAGCGGGAAGGTAAACGGTGTTTCTGTGCGCTGCTCTGGTTCGCCACATGCGGCTTAGTCATGCTGGCCACATGACCCGGAAGCTGAACGCCGGCTCCCTCAGCCAATAAAGCGAGATGAGCGCCACAACCCCAGAGTCGGCCACGACTGGACCTAATGGTCAGGGGTCCCTTTACCTTTACCTTAAGGTATGTAAAATGAACCATGGAAAGAGGAGAAGGGAAGTCATTGATTTAAGGTTGTTGAAATGAATGTTTTGAAATGTAATTTTATTAAAATTATATATAGTTTTCATTGAGACCCATGCATACCGTAGCACAATTCTTTGCAATCTCCAAATGGGACAGATGCATTGCAGGGGGTTGGACTAGATGATCCCTGGGATGCCCTTCCAACTCCACAATTCTATGATTCTATCCACTATGCGGAAAGTGCCACAGGTGTTGGAGTAAGGTCTTTAGTTTTCATTGAGACCCATGCATACCTTAGCTGTCCAAAAGAACAGCACATCAGCCTTTAAGGTGCCCCAGGACTCTTCCTCCCCCCTTAACCATTAGGAACAACAACTATGCTTCTGGGATGAGTTCTCACAAGTTTGGAAAAAGTTTGGAAAACTTACTCTGCAGTCAAGCCTTGGGATGGCTTTGTCTAGGGTCAGCACTGTCCAGTTCCACCTTGCCAACCTCTGTGCAGACTGCACCCATGTTTTCTCGCTTCCTCTTTATTTATTTTTAAATTTTTGGAATGTGGGTGCTTGTAACTTTAAGAAAAGTCTTTTTCTCTCCCTCTCCTCTCTCTCTCTCTCTTCTGTTCCTCTCCTCCCATTAACCCTGCTTGGGCTGGAAGGAATGTTCACACACCCTTCCCTATTTCTCTCTTGCCCCCTCCTTCCCTTTCAACTTGCTAATCTATCAAGCCTCTCTTCTTCTCCCAAACAATTTTTCAGCAGTGTGTAGGAGTGGGTGAGTCAGGAACAGAGCAAAAGAGAAAAAAAAGGGGAAGGGACTTCCCCCCCCATCTTCCACTGCCTTAGCTTTTCTCTGTTATATATATTTTTTTTGGAGAAGTCAGCTTTTTTGGAAAGCGGGAAGCGCTTTGGAGAAGTTAACCGGGCAAGTTTTGTTATGATAGCCCTTGCTTATAGATGTAGGCATCATCAGTTTTGCTTAGAAGCCAGAGCAGAAAGAGCTTGGCAAAGCTTGGAAAAGGGGAGAAATCAGGTGCAAGTTTTGAAAAGCTGCTGAGACGCAAGAGAGTAGGAAATCCGCGCTCGGAGTGGCAAGTGAAGCCAAACTTAAGCTGGAAATTCGAAGGAAAGAACATTTTATTGGCACTCTCTTATTTTTGTGATACGGACAAATGTTTCGAGCTGGGAAATTATTCTGAATTTCCACAAGGAGTTTTTGTTTTTTTAATAGAAAAGTTTGGATCCAGTCGTTCTCCTGGGTACTGACTTCACCGAAGATTTCGTCACTTGTTTTTGGGATTCGGCTCCAGCGACAACCTTCTCCTTCGCCTCTTTTGAAACTTCTCAGTGAACTTGGGAGATACTTGAGAGAGAAGCTGCCCCTGCCTCTTCCTGGGCTCCTCTGCCTCTGCCAATGATCCCCTAGAGTGTTTTGGGGAGCTGGGATTTGTTGTGGGGACTTCAGTTTTGGAAAATGGGTCAACTTGGCCGATCGTTCTTCTCCTGCCTGCTGGCTTTGTGGATGAGTATCGGCAAAGCACAGGAAGGTAAGTGAATATTTGTGTGTTTCAGGGTGAAACTAGCAACACAACATGGGCATCTGGTCAGGGGCGAGCGACAGATTTAGAGTACCAAGAGTGATGTGATGGGTAAATTGTTGGGTGTGGACCAGGGAGAGACTGGTCCGAATGCCCACTGGGCAGCAAAGCTGACTGAGAGCCAAGTGGACATAACTCAGCCTCGACTTACACCGCAGAGTTGTTGTCAGGGTGAAAAAAGGCCGGATCCCTCTATAGCAGCGGTTCTCAACTTGTGGGTCCCCAGATGTTGTCGGACTACAACTCCCATCATCCCTGAGCTCTGGCCTTGCTAGGTAGGGGTGATGGGAGTTGTAGTTCAACAACATCTGGGGACCCACAGGTTGAGAAAGGCTGCTCTATAGACATGATGCTCACGAAATGTTTCTTGGGCCAAGTGGCTGACTCTCAACTTGACCTGAACTCTCCTTCCTCGGAGGTCCTTAAACAGAGGTTGGATGGCCATCTGTCATGGATGCTTCAGTTGAGATTCCTGCATTGTAGCGGGTTGGACTAGATGACCCACGGGGTCCCTTCCAACGCTATGATTTTACGATTCCTAGGGTGGCTGTGAGCATCAAACGCTACATCCGCGCGGTGCGACCACCTGAAATCATGGGAGGAAAGACGAGATGATAAATATTTACTATTAAGCCGGTTTGTGTAAATGAGAAGCCCCCCCCCCAATTTTCCTCACAACAGTCCTGTGAGGTAAATTGGGCCCAGGGCCACCCTTGTGGGCGTTTGTGGCCAACTGAGAACAGGATTTGAACCCGCTGTCTCCGCAACAGCCGGCTGCCCCTCAGAACAGAGAGAGACAGAGGCACAATGGGATTTCTTCAAAACAGGCGGTCTCCCTTTCATCCCCGAGTCTGGTGACTGTGTGGGCTGGTGATTCAGTCATCCATCCTGCGCCAACTTTCTAAAGGGCCTCAGCCTCCAGGAATGTCTCCCTTCTCCAGGTGTCCCCAGCTGGGCCACATCAGTCACCGCTTCTCCCTGGAGTCGCCTCTTGAGTTTAGAGAGGAAACCTGATTCTTTTTGGACTCTAAGGCAAGCAAAAACAGCTATTGTAACTAGAGCTGGGGTAGGACTTTGATGCTGTCAGGTGGGTCCCTGGAGAAGGCCTCTCTGATTGTGTGGATGGATCCGTGGTTTTAGGGTCAGCACTAAGCTCCAGCCCCGACCCCACAAATCGCTTGCTGTTATTCCACTGATTTTCATATTCCAGAGCGGTAGTTGTCTTACTCTCTCTTGCGGCAAAAGCAACAGAGAGCCCCATGGCACCCACAAATTTATGATGGGATAAGCTTTCGCGGACTATGGTCTGCTTCATCGGTTGCAACTCAGAATAACGCTCCGTGCGTCTCGTGAAGTGGACTGTGGTTTATCGGAGCTTATGCTACCCTAAATTTGTCAGGCTTTAAGGTGCTTCAAAGACTTCTTGTTATATTAATGTTGGTAGCATTTGCAGAGTCCATAAGCAAAATTAATAGGTCTCTGCCCCAAGGGGTCCTCCTCAAGTTACATTTTGACCAGGTTTGGTGAGGGGGTGTGTGGTGGGGGGGAGGAATGGGCAATAAGAAATGAAATGAAGAAACGCAGGTCCCTATACCTAGAATGAATTTCATTGGGAATGAGAATGGAATGCTTAATCTAAAGACTTCATGGGAAAAGGTAACATTCTGATGAAGGATTTGAAGGGAAATCATGAGAAGTGGGACTGCTTGGGTCTTCGGAGAGGCTGTATTGAAAGTGACTCGGAAACTACAGCTAATCCAGAATGTGGCAGCTAGACTGGTGACTGGGAATGGCAGCCGGGACCATATAATACCAGTCCTAAAATACAGGAGTGCTTGGCGTGCTCTGGTCCATGGGGTCACGAAGAGTCGGACATGACTAAACGACTAAACAACAACAACAAAAGAGCTACATTGGCTCCCAGTACATTTTTGAGCACAATTCAAAGTGTTGGTGCTGACTTTTGAAGCCCTAAATGACCTCAAAGTCCCAGTATATCTGAAGGAGCGTCTCCACCCCCATCGTTCTGCCCGGACACTGAGGTCCAGCACTGAGGGCCTTCTGGTGGTTCCCTCACTGTGAGAAATTAAGTTACAGGGAACCAAGCAGAGGGCCTTATTGGCAGCGGCACCCACTCTTCCATCAGATGTCAAAGAGATAAATGACTTTATGGCTTTTAGAAGACATATGAAGGCAGCCCTGTACAAGGAGGTTTTTTAATGCCTGAGGGGTTTTTTTTAATGTTAGTACAGTGGTACCTCAGGTTAAGTACTTAATTCGTTCCGGAGGTCCGTTCTTAACCTGAAACTGTTCTTAACCTGAAGCACCACTTTAGCTAATGGGGCCTCCCGCTGCCGCCACGCCGCCGGAGCACGATTTCTGTTCTCATCCTGAAGCAAAGTTCTTAACCTGAGGTACTATTTCTGGGTTAGCGGAGTCTGTAACCTGAAGCATATGTAACCTGAGGTACCACTGTATTTTGATGGAAGTTGCCCAAAGTGGTTGAGGTTACCCAGTCAGATGGGCGGCATGTAAATAATCAGTGGTGATATATAAATATCTGTGATAATATATTGAGAGAATATGCTCAAGATATCTGAAGGAGCGTCTCCACCCCCATCGTTCTGCCCGGACACTGAGGTCCAGCACCGAGGGCCTTCTGGCGGTTCCCTCACTGCGAGAAGCAAAGCTACAGGGAACCAGGCAGAGGGCCTTCTCGGTAGTGGCGCCTCCCTGTGGAACGCCCTCCCACCAGATGTCAAAGAGAACAACAACTACCAGGCTTTTAGAAGACATCTGAAGGCAGCCCTGTTTCGGGAAGCTTTTAATGTCTGATGTATTATAGTATTTTAATATTCTTTTGGAAGCCGCCCAGAGTGGCTGGGGAAGCCCAGCCAGATGGGCGGGTTATAAATAATAAATTATTATTATTATTATTATTATTATTATTATTATTATTATTATTATTATTATCTCTTAACACAGACAGACAGTTGGATCAGCCCAAGGGGGCCCAATCTAGTCCAGCATCCTGTTCTCTCAGTGGCCAATGAGAACCCCAAAAAGCAGGGCCTGAACACAACATCCCTCTCCCAATTTGTGATTCCCTGCATTCTGCCTCTGACAGTTGAGGGAGAACATAGCCTTTGTGGTTTCTATCAATTGGTTGTACCTGTAACCCACATTCCTTTTTAAGAGAGGGTTGTCAACGGGCTTAAAGGGGATTTCCTTCCCCTCGCTGGATGATGCATATTTTCCAATTTATGTCTGAGATTGGGATTCGTACCAGAAAGAATGCTCATGACTCGCCTTATTACTCAGAACCAAATGGGCGTGGTCTTGTTTTCTCCGTTAAAGGAGCATTAGATTCCGAATGGTGAAATGGAAGTGTCAGACTGGAGGGGTCAAGACTGCTGTCGCTGCACCCCGCTTCTCTGCAAAACAGCTGTATCAAACAAACCACCTAGAATCTTTTGTCGGGCAAAACAACACAACGATTTGCTACACAGGGTGGGCTGCCTGCAGCCTTTCTCTGCCGCCACCCATGTCTTTGTACTCCCTGCTGAATAAAATCTGGGGAAACTACACCTTCTTGGGCTATATAAATAATTGCTAGCGTAGCTTATGTTCTTCACTCCACCCATGAGACTTCGCCAAAAGAGCGGGAGGAATTTCACTGTTCTTTTGCAACCCTAGTTTTGTACCTTAGGTTGGTCAAAGCGGAACGAATTGGTGCCTTTGAGTTCGTGCCTCTGGGAGGAGGGTGTAAAACTGGATCACCTGAAATATTTGCTGGGAAATGGGTGCGTTTGGCAGAACAGATCAGGTTCCAGGAGAATGAGGAGCCAAGTCGCTTTCATTGTGTTTAGCCAAAGGGTATAGCAAGATGAAACTGTTGGCCGGCCTCACCTAGAAGTGACAGGGGTTGTGATTAACTGAACTGTACCCTGCCCAGCTTTGGACCAAGGAGCCACCTGTACAATTAACGGCCAACATTTCGCCTGTTTTCCTCTACCGCTGTCTCAGAAAGCACCGCTCTGTGGGTGGTATATTAATCTCAGCAAGTTACTCTCCCAACATATATAAAACAAAAAAATTCCTTCCAGTAGCACCTTAAAGACCAACTAAGTTAGTTCTTGGTATGAGCTTTCGTGTGCATGCACACTTCTTCAGATACCAAGATACCAAAGCTCATACCAAGAACTAACTTAGTTGGTCTTTAAGGTGCTACTGGAAGGAATTTTTTTGTTTTGACTATGGCAGACCAACACGGCTACCCATCTGTAACTCAACATATATAAGTTATTTCAAACAATATAGCAGGCAGCGCTATTGTTCTAGAAAAAGAGGTTGCTGGAACTCACAATGAACACACCTCTCTTGTTCTCTTATAAGGCAGGAACTGAGTTCTTGTGAGCTCTGGCTGGAAAAAAGCCCTGGCCTCGGGTCACCCTCTCTGCTGCTGTTATTTCTTACCTATGTCATTTTAAACTGTGATATTATTGCTTTATTCTTAGTTTTAGATTTTGATTTATGTGGAAAATGTTTTCCATTTGGTTGTGTATTTTTTTGATGTGGTTTGTTTATTGTTTATGACTTTTGTAATTTTGTAAATCTTGTTATGCTGTAAGCCGCCTTGAGCATTGTTTTCTTAACTGTGGAAAGGAGGCATACAAATAAAAAATGATGATGATGATGATGATGTAAGCACAAAGGGTAGGGTGAAAATGTCCCTGTGTGGTAGTCCATCATTCAAAGGGTGCTGAAGCTCATAGCTCTGTGCACTACAGTTCACAACAGTACTTCAGCAGCTTGGCTGATGCCACAGATTCTGAATAATTTGATGATAGTCTTGGTTTCCCCCAAATAATTCTGGGAGCTGTAGCTTGCGAAGGGTGCTGAGAGTTATTCGGGAAACTGCTATTCCCCTCCCAGAGCTACAACTTGTC